AACGCTTGTGATTAAAAAGCAAATGTGTGTGTGTGTGTGCGCGCGCGCGCGTGAGAGAGAGAGAGAGAGAGAGATTGTTTGTTTACCTTATCTGCACTGTCCTGGTTTCTCCTCAGTCTGCTGATGTGTCTCGGTACCGTCACCTCATATGAGGAGAGCCGAGACGTCTGCTGGGTAACTGAGCCTATGAACAGAGACAGTCCCGTCACAACACTGTCTACACATCACCACCAATACAAACATAATGAATTATACAAGCTATGCAGGAAAAGAGTGAGACTTCAATATCTTGCACTGGATTTACAGGCAACTGTCATTCATTTCTCCATCTACTTTCCTCTATTATTCCTCACTGCAACAACATTTTTTTTATATATGACTGCTATTGTGATCATGGGTAATTAGATTGTATGCAATTGACTGGTCAGCAAATAAGTGGCAAGTGTTTCCTGTAGGTGGAAATAGTGCTGCGCTGGCAAGGGTATCATGGAGAAGAGAGAAAGACCTCAGGAAGGAGAGGCATCCCACCCGCTCCTGAGTCATCAGACAACAAGTTGGATGAGTCATCCTGTGCTGTTTTCCCGAAAAGGATGAAGGGCAGGTAAGACAGAACAATTCATAATGCTTACTTCCTTGTTCTATTTACTGAGTCACACAAAATTCTCAGATTTATCTCGATGTCCTTCAATAATTCTCAGGCCAAAACATGCCCTCAAATGCTTAACGCTAAACCTTAAATGCTCAAATAAGTGTGTGTAAGAAAGCAGTCATTTAAGAGACACTTTTAACTCTTTATGTAGCCAGTGTTGACAGAACTGTCACATGCTCCATCAGACCAGAGCTGCACTGTCACCACATCTTCATTTATCATGCATGTGTGCCATGGAAACTTACAAAAATATATATTTAGATCTGTCATGAAGTTACATTATAATAGGTGTATAATTGCCAGTTATTAACACACAGCAAATTAATACACACACATTTAAATAAACTTTAAAAAGTAACATCTAACTTAACTGTTTTTTTATGAGTCTAAAATATTCATCAATGAATCAACCTAAATATATTACTATATACTAAAAAAAAATAATTTTATGGGTTAAATCAGGTAGAAATAGATTATGGTAACAATTGCATGCTACCATTTTTTTGTTTGTTTTCAAGAGAATTAAACATCCAATGAAAAAAAGAAAAAGAAAAATGTAATTTTTAACATGTTGCTATGAATAATCATTTTATTTATTTATTTATTTGTTATGGAGTTTGTCGCAGCTCGTGGATCCGGATGTGCTTGTATAGCAGAAAATGGTGCTGTGTCAGTTCTCGGTTCGAAATCTTTTGGATTAGGCCAGGGGTGCCCAAACTCGGTCCTGGAGGGCCGGTGTCCT